ATTAAAACTTTAAAATTAATCATTAAAATTTTAAAATTTTTAAATATATATAATTAATGTGGAATATCTCTTGGTACCTGTATTCGTGATCCGACAATTTTATGTTGGATTGTAAGTTATATTTCCTCAAATCTTAAAATTAGGATTCGAATCCTTTATTTTCATTTTATAAACCGTTAAAAAAATAAAAAGTGAAGTATATCTTCGAGATCACTTAAGGAGGGAAAACAATATCAAAATACGTAAGCACCATTCTGGAGACACTCTTATTGTAAATGCCAACAAAATAAAACAGCTGAGAAGAATTTTTCCTCAATTGTGGCTAAAGTTGTAAATGAACCAAACAGCTCATGAGTTGCTTGATGTAATCTTGAATCAAACTCAACTCGTTTGCTAAACAAACTGACCATGAATTCAATTTCAAACTCAATAAATAATTGAACTTGAGTTGGAGCCTATAATATATATTAGGTTCGTGAACTCATTTAGCCCTCTAATTGTGGTAAAAATACTTTTAAAATATTGATTAATATATTTTTTAGTTTAATATATCACATAATATATATTAAAAAATTATTATTATTTATTTAAAATTAAAAATAAATATAAAAAATATATCAATAATTTTTTATATTTAAAAAGCGGGCATCTCTCTGAAGCTCGTGGAGCTTCTGGAGTTTTCTGAGCCGGTTGTGCTCCTATCGTTTCCCGTTCGGCGTCTTGTCCGGTTTCTTTAGTTACTTTCATTTTCCCTCTTTCCTACTCAGGTCCTTCGCTTCATTATCCCTTGGAGCTATGAAGGTAGTGAGTTGGAACTGTCAAGGATTGGGGCCTGCCTTGACAGTACGCAATTTGCGAGACCTGTGCTTCAAGTATCAACCTGATTTGGTCTTTCTCTGTGAAACTAAGCAACAAACACCACTACTTGAGAAGCATCGAAGGCGACTAGGCTTTGATCATGGGGGATATTGTCCACCACGGGGGAGAGCTGGCGGTCTAGCACTGTGGTGGAGAAAAGAGCTTCAGGTGCAGGTATCAGTTAAAAATAAACATTTATTTGATGGATCGTGCCTAGAACCCAACTGTCCTATCCCTTGGCATTTTTCCTTCATTTACGGTTGCCAAGTGCAAGGAGAGCGAGCTCGATTTTGGGTTGATTGTCAAAGTCTAAGAAGAGATAATGGAATCCCTTGGCTCGTTATGGGGGATTTAAATGCTTTGCTGAGCTACGCCGATAGAAGGGGGAAGGGTCCAATCTCGGTATCCTCCTTCTCTTGCTTGGAGCAATTTATGGAGAGTTGTGAGTTGAAGGAAATTGGATTTAGGGGCAATCCTTATACCTGGACTAATAGCAGATCAGGTCCTGCAAATGTCCAACATCGTCTTGATAGGGCCCTGGCGAACTCAGACTGGGTCCGGTGCTACCCTCACGCGCAAATTCTTCATGAGCTTAAGATCGGATCAGACCATAGCCCACTGATTATGTGCTCTAACGCTTTCCCCAAGCCCCCTCGGAAGTTGTTTTGTTTTGAATTGAAGTGGACCTTGGAGAATGGTTATCAAGAGTGCATCCAGAATGGTTGGCAGGTGCATATTACGGGTTCAGAGCAGTATAAGGTAATGGGTAAATTGAAGAATTGTCGTGCTGATTTGCTCTCTTGGAGCAAGAAGTTAAGGGGCAATCCCCAAGGGGAAATTAAATTTTTGCGTGAGAAGTTAGACTTTATGCAGAATCAAGAACCAAATGATGCTAATATGTTGCACCAAAAAATGCTAATTCAGAAATTGAATGATTTGTGGGCAAAGGAAGAGGCTTATTGGTTCCAATGGTCACGAGTGAATTGGATAAAACATGGGGATAGAAATTCAAGCTTCTTCCACTGCACAGCCTCCAGGAGGCGAAATAGAAATTGAATCTTTCAGCTCCAGAATGATGCAGGGCAATTATTGCAGAGCGAGGAAGAGATTTCAACATATGTTTTTCGAAGCCTGAGCTTTCAATTCCAAGCTTGCCCTACAATTGCTGATATGGATATTGTGTTTTCTTTCCCTCCAGTGATCACATCAGAAATGAATAACTCTCTTTGCATAGACATCACACTAGAGGAGGTTAAAGCTGCTACTTTCCAATTAGGAGCCTTTAAAGCACCAGGTCCGGATGGGTTTCCTGGAGTTTTCTACCAAAAACATTGGGACTTGGTTGGTGGTGATGTTCATAAAGCTATCTCAAGATTCTGGGGTATGGGTTTTCTGCTGAAGGAGTTCAATAAAATGAATATCATTCTCATACCAAAGGTCAAAAATCCTCAAACCCTCTCTCAATATCGCCCTATATCTTTATGCAATTTCATTTCTAAAGTTATCTCCAGGATAATGGTGAATAGATTGCAGCCTTTTCTTTCTCAAATAATTTCTCCAGAGC